AGAGCTCTTTTGTTTTTATTTTTATTTATGCTCAAGTCTCTCTCTTCTCCCCCTGCACCATTTCTAGATTCCTATCTTCAATATTATGAATCCTTTCCTCCATCTGGTTGGCTCTGTTTTCTATGCTTGGTAGTTTACTCTTAATCTCCTTAATTGCATGCTTCATTTCTAGGATTGCTGATTGGTTATTTTTTAAAGTTTCGGTCTGTTTGGTAAAGTACTCATTTTGTTCATTGATTTGTTTTCTGAGTGCACTGAGTTGCCTGTCTGTATTTTCTCGCATCTCATTGAGTACATTCAGAACTGCAAACTTAAAATCTCTGTCATTTATATCACACTAGAGGCCCAGCGCACAAAATTCGTGCGGGGGTACGGTCCCTAGACCTGGCCTATGATCAGGGCCATCTTCCACAGCTGCCAGCAGCTGGTCCACCCCCTGCCATCACCCAACCCTGGTTCACCATTTGCCATCGGGGGATCAGAGCTTGCCAGCCAGGATGAGGGCCACTGGCAATTTGCAGTCTGGCCACACTCCCAATCAGGGTGGGGGTCCCACTGGGGGACAGGGCTAGATGGGATGAGGGGCCTCATGTGGTTTTCAGGCTGGCTATGCCCCCCATCAGGGTGGGGGTCCCCACTGGGGCTCGGGGCCAGCCAAGGCAAGGGGCTGCTGGCAATATTCAGGCTGGCCACACCCACAATTGCGGTGGGGGTTCCCGCTGGGGGATGGGGCTGGCTGGGGCGGGAGGCTGCTGGTGGTTTGCAGGCTGGCCATGCCCCCATTTGGGGTGGGGGTCCCTGCTGGGGAGTGGGGCTGGCCAGGGCAAGGGGCTTCGGGCAGTTTGCAGGCTGCAGTTGTTCTGGTCTCTGGTTTTTTTGGTCATTCTGCCATTTCTGTCACTGGGCTTTTATTATACAGTGGGGCCTTGACTTACGAGTGTCCCAACTAATGAGTTTTTTGAGATACGACCGTGTCTTGGCCGATTTTTTGCTTTGAGTTGCGAGCTGAAATTCAGGTTACGAGCCAGCTTCAAATCCCCACTGCTAGTTGGCACAGCGACTGTCACAGTGAACGTCACAACATCAGCCCAGCATTTCAATTCATTGTAATGGTGAAAATTGATTTGACATAGGAGTAATTTGAGTTACGAGCTCCGTAACAGAATGAATTAAACTCGTAC